ATGCTCCCCACAACCAGATCCAGATACGTTGAGAATCTACTCAACAAGATTCGAAAAAGGAACGGGGTAACCCCCTATCGATTCGAAGGTCTCCGACCAATGATCGAGGACGAGGAAGAGGCACCTTTCAAACCTCTCAAGTCACTCCCCCTGGGTACGGAACACGTGCTCGAGGAAATTCGACGCAAGAAGAAGAAAAAGAAGACGAAGAAGGCAAAACCTGCCAAGGAGGTACCCGCCGAAGAAAAGCATTTCGAAATGCCCCAAGAAACCAACGTCATGGAAGACGTCTGGGTAGGGAAGATCGACCCCCTACCCGAAGTCAAGGAAGTTGCGACTTACCCTCTGACTGACGACGAGATTCTTTTAGAATACTCGGCCGATGGTTCTTCGGTTAGATTGATCGAGAACCTCACCTTCGATACTCCCCTTAACTAGGGATGGAACCTCCAAGACGGAGACTACAAAAACGAAGAAGACTCCCCTTCGCAACATTTGGATCCTTGCTACGGCAAAGGAGGAGTACACGAAAACCAGTAACAAGGCGCAGGAATTCGCCAAGGACAAGGCTCAAGAAACGAAGAAGAAATCATTCGAAGAGCTCGTCCCCGAATACCTCCACGACTTCGCAGATATATTCGCGAAGGACGGGCTTAACAAGCTCCCCCCATCGAGACCAGGTGTAGACCACCGAATCGAAACGAAGGAAGGTTTTATCCCAAAATCCTCCCGAGCTTACCCTCTCTCTCCAAAAGAGACTGAAGCGGTTAGAGTGTTCTGGATGAACATATCCAGAAAGATTTATCCAACCATCGAAGTCGCCTCAAGCCTCTGGCTTCTTCGTTTGTAGGAAAGAAGGACGGCTCCCTTCGCCCCTGTCAGGACTACAGGTACATTAACGAATGGACTATCAAGAACGATATCCCACTTCCCCTCATTCCGCCTCTCATCGCCAAACTCAAAGACGCGAAATATTTCACCAAAGTGGATGTCCGTTCAGGATACAACAATATTTTGATCCACCCGACGACAGATGGAAGGCAGCCTTCTCGACAACTTTTGGGCTCTTCGAGCCAAAAGTGATGTTCTTTGGGCTCTGTAACTCGCCAGCGACGTTCCAGGCCTACATGAACCAGACGTTCAGCAAGGAGATAGATGAAGGATGGCTCATCGTCTATATGGACGACATCCTAATATTCTCTTCTGACCTTGCAGAACACCAGATGCACACCCGTAGGGTTTTAGAGAGCTCCGTCAGGAGCAGCTCTTTCTCAAACCCGAAAAGTGCACCTTCGACTCCCAAGAGGTAGAATACCTTGGGATGATCATCCAACCCGGACAGGTTGCCATGGACCCGGCAAAACTCAAGGGGATTAGCGAATGGCAGACTCCATCGACGGTGAAAGAAGTCAGATCCTTCCTAGGATTCTGCAATTTCTACCGTCATTTCATCTCCCATTATTCCGACCTCGCTCGCCCCCTCCTCGACCTCACAAAGAAAGACACCATGTTTTCCTGGTCCCCCGACTGCGAAGCGTCATTCCAGAAGCTAAAGCAGTGTTTTACCACTGAACCTGTACTCCGGAACCCCGACCCCTCTCGCCAATTTGCATTGGCCACAGATGCATCGCTATTTGCGACAGGAGCAGTCCTCCTGCAAACCGACGACAATGGGTCTTATCACCCATGTGGATATCTCTCACAGTCTCTCAACACTGCGGAACAGAATTATCAGATTTACGACCGTGAGCTTCTTGTGGTTATCCATGTCCTGAAGGCATGGAGACACTTCCTTGAAGGCAATCCCCATCCAGTGATTGGATCTTCACACCGACCAACAAGAATCTCCTATAACTTCCGTTTCCTCACGATGCTGACGGAAGCGCATTCTGGAGCTCCACCATGATCACCCGACTGCCGGGCATCCCGGACGTTCCAACACCGAATGGAACGTCAAGAAAAGCTATTGGTGGCCCGGCATGGGCACCTTCATCTGACAATACGTGATGGCGCACTATGTGCCAGCGAGATGAAATCCGACCACTCACCCCACCACACCTCCCCTTATGCCCATTCCCTCCACACCTGTACTCGACCCTTCTCCCAAGTTTCAGTTGATCTTATCACTGATCTTCCGGAGAGCGCCGGCTATGACTCCATTATGGTCGTGGTCGACCATGGGCTTATGAAGGGGGTAATTTCTTTTCGCCTGCAAGAAACCATCACTGCAGAAGGCATTGCTGAATTATTTTACAAAAAGGTGTTTATGCAATTCGGATTATACAACAAGATCATCTGATCGAGGCCACAATTGCCTCGAAGCTAGCAAAAGAACTCAGATGGCTCCTGGATACCAGGTAGCCCTCTCCACTGCCTATCATCCCCAGACGGATGGGCAGACAGAACGAATGAATCAGGAGCTGGAAATGTACCTTCGGATCTATTGTAGGACGACTCCTAACAATTGGGCCAAACAACCTTCCCATGGCCGAATTCATCCACAATTCCAGACGGACACTCTGCTCAAAACGCATCCCCGTTCCACCTCATGATGGGTTACGAACCCAAAGGCATACCATATGCCTTCCCCGACTCAGCTCTGCCAGCAGCAGAAGATCGAGTCAAGAAACTCGCGAAGATCCGTGAAGAAGCCCTTGCATGCCACAGCCTTGCACAGCAATGCATGGCAGAACGCACATTTGGACGAAAGTACCAACCTTGGAAGGTTGGGGACAAGGTGTGGCTATCTGCTGCACATTTGATCACCCACTTCCCTTCAAAGAAACTCGCACCAAAACGATACGGACCCTTTACCGTTAAACAGGTCCTTTCCCCTATCACATTCACCCTCGAACTCCCTGCCACCTGGCGTGTTCATCCCACATTCCATGCATCAGAATTATCCTCCTATCAGGAGATGGACATGCATGGCCTGAACTATACTGAACCGCCACCAGACCTGATCGACGGGGAAGAACATTAAGAAATAGAAGCGATCCTCCAACACAGGGGTACCAGAACGAAATGTTAGTTGTGTGGTGACTTCACACTAGATAGGTCGAAGACTTCTAAGACTTCGAAGACTTGAAGGACACTTCAAGGACATTACTATATTAGTAGATAACTTCGAGGACTTCGAGGACACTTTAAGGACAGACCTCTAAGACACTTCGAGGACACATACCATACTAGGAATTGTTTATATTTGTTTACATAGACTCGCCCATAGTGAAGAGTTCACAAGTCTTACATGCTTTGTGCATTGACTTTGAACTCTCAGGTATAGTACTTTACTTATTTACACAATAATATCAAGTGCATTGACTTTGAACTCTCAGTTTTTCTAACACGAAACACCGATACCTGGTCTCCTGGGTTGGCTACCCACCCTCCGAACGAACGTGGATCCCAGAGAAGGAACTGAAGTCCGCAGCGGAGATGCTCAAGGACTATAAGAAGAGACTCAAGCTAACAACAAAGCTCCTCAGTTGTCAACCAGCTACCTGTTAGAATAACTGAGAGTTCAAAGTCAATGCACATGATATTATTGTGTAAATAAGTAAAGTACTATATCTGAGAGTTCAAAGTCAATGCACAAAGCATGTAAGGCTTGTGAACTCTGCACTATGGGCGAGTCTATGTAAACAAATATAAACAATTCCTAGTATGGTATGTATCCCCGAAGTGTCTTAGAGGTCTGTCCTCAAAGTGTCCTCGAAGTCCTCGAAGTCCTCGAAGTTATCTACTAATATAGTAATGTCCTTGAAGTGTCCTTCAAGTCTTCGAAGTCTTAGAAGTCTTCGACCTATCTAGTGTGAAGTCACCACACAACTAACAGATAGTAGGACAAGGCATACGGTAAGTGTCATCGAGCGTGACATCTTGTTCAAGCTCCAACAATTAGCAAAGCCAGAACCAAATTCTAACTTGCGCAAATATTGGTGGCCGAACAGACTCTAAATGGTCCATTTTTCTTGCTGACACACCGGCGGTTTCAGAGTTTTACTTCATGCAAGATTTTAATTGAAATGACAATGATAAATTAGCCATTTGTACCTGGAATTTTATCACTGGAACAATGGCAAACTTTCACATATAGCAAAATGACAAAGCAAAATAACACATTTTGATACCAATTTGAAGTCCATCTGAATGTATAAAATACTCAAAGTTTTCTCCTTACAAAAATGTTGGCTCAAATGTAAGCTTTTACAATCCTATTTTCCAATGATAAATCCAAAATCTCGAAGTGTAGAAAAATGTTCTGCAAAATATTATATAATAATGTGGGTTTTGCCACTCTAGGAAATTTGAATTTGCTCTACATTGAAATGATGTGTTGGAAAATGCAAAGTTTAAGCAATGGGGAATTGTTGTAGGCAATCATTGGGCGCTCACCGAGCATTCATTAAGTATTCATCGCCCTGATATGTACAAATACACAGGTCGAAGTCCAAGTAACTCTCGTTAACCACATTCTTCTCATCCAGAGACAACGCTACATAACTACACACTTTACTTTCTCTGTCTCTCCAGTCTTCTCCTGTTTGTATCCCGGTTCTATACTCGCAACCTAGTGGTAAAGCATTTTGCTATGTAATGTCAGTTTAGTTGAATGTTAGAGCAAAATGAGAACATACACATTTTCCCTTTGCATGTGGGACCTGAAAAAATGTTGGGTGACGTCTACGCCGTGTCAAAAGTTTTTGAGCCCAGTCAGGGGATTGGGCGGTGATGTTGTCATAGGTATTGGAGGGGTTGCAGTGGAAAAGACGGCCAAGAATTGTCCCGGGTAGTGTGGACTGCGTGAAGAGGGTTAGTGTAGTATCATTGAGCAAAATTATTTGAAGCATTGGGCAGGAATGAGTGCTGCAAGGGAGGTTGGAGTAAGAATGAATGAAGTCAAGAAACAAAGTCAAACAAAAATCAGAACAACTACTCACATTCAAAACCATCACACCCCAAAATGCGCCACACAAAGCATATTGGAGGAAGAGCATATGGCTTCCTCAGTGTTCTCTCCCATGGCACTTGCTCTTGTCCTCTTCCTGGGACAAAGAATGATGGAGGGAGCCAAGAGCGCTGGAATAGAGAGAGTGGGGATGGGAGGGTGAATAGCAAACAAAATGGCCCAGGCTACAGAGAAAACAAAATGATACTCAGATCACATGAAAAAAGGGACGAAGGATAAAACACACCTTAACATGTTGTGGGTGCTAGAACACAATGGAAAGTGGCAGTAAGACAAACAAAATCACTCAGCCTGTAGGAGTGAATTCAATTCTCGGATGCTGATAAAATTAGGTAAGCACTCACCACGTGACATGTGACTTGAGGGACTTGTTTGTTGAGGCTCAAAATTGTTAATCGTCAAACGCTCTAATCTTCAAGTACACTGCTTTGATCAACAATGGATGAAGCGCATGCAAACATAAGTTGTCTGTAGTAGCCCTGATCAGACGCGGCGACTAATGCATTGTCTCCAGGAAGGGAGTTGACATTAATGAAGACAATCTTGTAAGTCATACTACTGTCTAAATGAATACACTAATTCTACAATATCAGCTTTTTCATGGGGAGGTGGAAGGACAGGCTGGGGACGTCATGGAGGAGCTGGCTGGGGTAGAAGAGCTGGCTGAGGTAGCAGAGCAGGCTGGGGTAGAGCAGGCCGAGGGCATGGAGCAGGCTGAAATGTTTGCAGCAATGCAAACTGCGATAGTAAGTCTACTGACATTGTCTTTGTTAATAAATTTTGACATATCTAGGCACTATGGGACTATGCACAAGAAATTGTCCTAGACGACATGCAATACATGCAAACTCATCCGCACGCGCCACACCCTGCTCACCCTCCCATCCAAATGTCACGTTGCAATAAATGCTTACTAGGGTTGATGTTAGAGGATAGACGTGAAGCGGTGACCTGGCTATGGCAGGAGTCAAACAAGATGGAGCTTTTGTTGGGCTTGGAGCATATCTAGGGCATGGGAGGAGGAGCTGGGGGGAGAACATAAGTCACATCAATGTCTATTACCTCTTGTCTTGCAATTTGCGAACCAATTCATAGGTCTTTGTTTACTTGAATACCATATACTACTTGCTGTTAGAAGAACTGAGAGTTCAAAGTCAATGCACTTGATATTATTGTGTAAATAAGTAAAGTACTGTACCTGAGAGTTCAAAGTCAATGCACGAAGCATGTAAGACTTGTGAACTCTTCACTATGGGCGAGTCTATGTAAACAAATATAAACAATTCCTAGTATGGTATGTGTCCTCGAAGTGTCTTAGAGGTCTGTCCTCAAAGTGTCCTCGAAGTCCTCGAAGTCCTCGAAGTTATCTACTAATATAGTAATGTCCTTGAAGTGTCCTCGAAGTCCTCGAAGTTATCTACTAATATAGTAATGTCCTTGAAGTGTCCTTCAAGTCTTCGAAGTCTTAGAAGTCTTCGACCTATCTAGTGTGAAGTCACCACACAACTAACACTTGCTTGGTTTGCCCATCCTGCCTGAGTGCAGCTGTTGTACCAGCAAACTACCAGTTCCTGGCGGAACTGGATTGTACACAATCCGCGACAAGGAAGATAAATTTATTGCCGACATTGCCCTATTTACAGGGGGCTTACTCCCGCTTAGTCTATCGTATGTAGGAAGAATCTTTGCTCAGTACATGGACCTATTGCCATTCTTCTCTATCAAGATCTCAATCCTATTAATTGTGAAACTATTGCAACACATGTTGGAGAGAGGAATACGTACACGACACAAAGACAAGGCAACAATATGCTGTGGGGAGAACCTCCACTGTGCGAAATGTGATACTACCCACTCAGGCATGACCACTTCAAGATGATCAGTGAGCGCCAATGAGTGTAGTTGAGCTGGGAAGTCAGGATAATGGCGAAAAGGGTCTGGGTAAGAATGTAATGGGAGGTGATGCCGCACAGCGAAGCCCACTCCATGCTTGGTCCTGAAAATATACTTGATAGTTCCTGGTATCTGTGTGTGCATCACACTGTCAGGATAGTAGAGGATCAAGCTGTTGCCCACATGAGTGGATTCACAGGCATAGACTGATCCCTTGTAGACTATGCGAGCATGCAAAATGGCTTGCTGCACTTTAATGAGGGATTGGAGGTCTACTGGAATATCTTTGTTTGTTGGAGAAGGTATTGGGCAATCTTCAGTAGCGTTGACCATGGGAGAAACAAATCTGTCAAATAATAATTTCACATCCCTGAATATGGGAGGGCAGAAAGGCTGGTTCAGCCAGTACTTCAACTTCACAGCCTTGATGTATGAGGCAAGGAGAGTTGATTCTTGCTGACCTTTATTAGAACCAGTGTTAAAATTCCATCACGATAAGCAAAGAAAAAATGTTACCAAATATGTGGTTGGTGTATTTGTTGTTCGAATGACATGAACAATGTGTTGCATAACTTCAGGGTTAGTAATGCGCAATTTCGACGATTTGGTAGTGAAAGGTTTTGTTCGATGCTACAAAGCCGATTAAAGCAGCAGGTTGAGAGGGTGCACGAGAACGCTAAGGAAATCACTGTTAGAAGAACTGAGAGTTCAAAGTCAATGCACTTGATATTATTGTGTAAATAAGTAAAGTACTGTTAGTTGTGTGGTGACTTCACACCAGATAGGTCGAAGACTTCTAAGACTTCGAAGACTTGAAGGACACTTCAAGGACATTACTATATTAGTAGATAACTTCGAGGACTTTGAGGACACTTCAAGGACATTACTATATTAGTAGAGGACTTCGAGGACTTCGAGGACACTTTGAGGACAGACCTCTAAGACACTTCGAGGACACATACCATACTAGGAATTGTTTATATTTGTTTACATAGACTCGCCCATAGTGCAGAGTTCACAAGTCTTACATGCTTCGTGCATTGACTTTGAACTCTCAGTTATTCTAACAGGTTATGAGCCCTGCGCTTTAGCAGTCAAATCTGTCGCTGGAGTTCACTGTCTTTGGGCCAACTTAGTGCGCATTTTCCCTCCTCTCGCATCCAGCCACTGGTACTCTCCCCACCCATTATTCCTTGCTCTCTTTGTTGAAAATCAGCAAAGACAGCCTTTCCTTCGAATTCTACCAAGCCCTTGCCCTTAATTCGTCCCACTGCTGCAAAACTGCGCCGTCTCCTTCGCCATGTCCTCAGAAGACTCGAAATCTATTCGCACTGTCACCAAACTCACTTCTACCAACTATGCTACCTGGAAGGGTGAGATGAAGGCCTATCTTCGAGTCAAGGGTCTCTGGTTGCTTGTCAATGGCATCGAGACTCGACCAACAGAGACAGAAGCTGCAGCAAAGTGGGACACCAAGGCAGACAAGGCAGCTGGGGAGCTGTATCTGGCGTGCTCTGTAGAGCAAAGGACCCATATCGACGCTGTCCAGGACGACCCTGTCAAGATTTGGACCACCCTGGCTTCCACGCACCTCCAGAAGCGTCCTGGCGCGCGCTTCAATGCCTGGGACGACTTCTTCTCTATTAGGAAGCAGCCTGACGAGTCCTTGAGCACCCTCATTGCTAGGATCGAAGATGGCATGTCCAAAGTCCAGGAGCTTCGACCCTCAGACCCATCCAAGCCTTACACCATCAAGGAACTCGACCAAGAGCTGGTCTGCATGACCATGGTTCGTTCCCTGGGCGAGGAGTACTCCAATTTTGCGTCGTCTTTGATGCTACTCAAGTCCTTGGACAAGGAGGAACTGAAGGCAGCATTCCTGGCTGAGGAAACCCAAAGGAGGAGACGTCCTGAAGGTTCTGGGACCGATGCAGCGCTGTTTACTGCGTCTGGAGACTGTAGATGCGGCACCTCTGTCACCTGCTGGTACTGCGAGAAGCCTGGTCACTGCACCCACAAGTGCAGGAGTCTTAAAGGTGATAAGGATCGTCGCAAGACCAAAAATGATGGTCGAAAAGGTGGAAGGAGCGCTAACAAGGCTTCTGAGGCGTCCCAATCATCGTCTGCAGCGTCCACACCCTCTCCCAACACTGCTGCACCTGCCTCCAACTCGACCACTGCCCAGAACACCTCCCAGAGCGCCCAACAGGTCACGGAATTTGCTGGTAATGCAAGTCTTCGCACTTTTGACCCATCCCATCCGCTTTGCCCCTTGCAACTCGATGCACATGCTGACTGGAATGCAGACACAGGTGAGTCAAGAAACTCGCGAAGATCCGTGAAGAAGCCCTTGCATGCCACAGCCTTGCACAGCAATGCATGGCAGAACGCACATTTGGACGAAAGTACCAACCTTGGAAGGTTGGGGACAAGGTGTGGCTATCTGCTGCACATTTGATCACCCACTTCCCTTCAAAGAAACTCGCACCAAAACGATACGGACCCTTTACCGTTAAACAGGTCCTTTCCCCTATCACATTCACCCTCGAACTCCCTGCCACCTGGCGTGTTCATCCCACATTCCATGCATCAGAATTATCCTCCTATCAGGAGATGGACATGCATGGCCTGAACTATACTGAACCGCCACCAGACCTGATCGACGGGGAAGAACATTAAGAAATAGAAGCGATCCTCCAACACAGGGGTACCAGAACGAAATGTTAGTTGTGTGGTGACTTCACACTAGATAGGTCGAAGACTTCGAAGACTTCGAAGACTTGAAGGACACTTCAAGGACATTACTATATTAGTAGATAACTTCGAGGACTTCGAGGACACTTTGAGGACAGACCTCTAAGACACTTTGAGGACACATACCATACTAGGAATTGTTTATATTTGTTTACATAGACTCGCCCATAGTGCAGAGTTCACAAGTCTTACATGCTTCGTGCATTGACTTTGAACTCTCAGGTATAGTACTTTACTTATTTACACAATAATATCAAGTGCATTGACTTTGAACTCTCAGTTCTTCTAACATTAAGAGGGTGACAAAGTTGGGTATCAAGTACATGAGAAACTATGTAAGGCTCTTTGAGACAGGTTTAATTAAGAAACCCCTGGAATAATAATTAACATCATCACTACATGAAATGTTAGGAATATGATGCTGCCACATCTTTGTACATGAGGATGGGAATCAATTTGTGGCCAGCTCCATCAATTAGTGGTTTGATGGAAATATGCAGATGTGTACTTGAGATAAGGAAGCACTATTTAATGTCAATAAATTGTAAGTGAGACAAGACAAAGGAGTGAAAACTAAGTATGATGTGATATGGCAACAATGAACCACTCAAGAAGGCAATAAAAAATAAAAACCCACAAACTTTCTGATAGAAACAAGTACATTGCTAACCAACAAAAGTCTCCTTTGGGAGTTGGAGATGACTGCAAGGCTGTAATGCTGACGTGCTCAACCAACAGTCATGTCTCTCAACTTTTTAATGACTTAGTTGTCTCAATCTCAAGATCAATACAAATACAACAGACACAGTTGATCTAAGGACATTTAGGGGAAACAGATCTCTCATCTGTGGTGTCTTTCTTCAAGTGTGCCCACCAGTCCACATTTGCTTATGTAAGCAGGTCATTCCTATCCTGTTGCCTCACCCAAAGGTTGATTTTTTCAGCCTTCATACAACTTACCTGACTTCAAATAGAACTTGATCCTAAGATTATTTACCACTCTGAATCTAATGACAATGCTGATTTCGTCTGAAAAAATTATATTTCAGAGCTATGCTACCCCCTCCCCCTACCTACTCAACTATGAAGTATGATTTCATGTATATACTGATGTAAAAAAGATTTAAATAGTGTTTCTGGATCATACAAATAAATTGAAGATGAGTTTGAAGTGTTTTTGGCCAATATGGAATGTAATGTATAAGTTGACCTCATACCCCCCCTCAAAGATTGATTTTTCTGTCCTTCCCATGACTTCAAAACTATTTTTCCTGGGGGCTCTTGATGCCTGTGAACAAGATGGTCAAGCCCGAATTATCAGAAAAAATCAGGTCGTCTAGATACAGAAGGTCCTCCTCACCCCCTAACTCATATATCTTCCTATTATGTAAATACTGGTATGTAGAAGGGTGTCCCTACTGTTTTCAAGTCGTACAAATTGATCAGTGATGGTCCCAGGGTGTATAGAGGTCACCAATATTGCAGTTTGGTGGAGGGGCACAAAAGTCAGTATTTCAATCATATCTCTATATTCCAACCGTCATTTTTCTTAATTCTTAGCTCATATGATTCCTGGAAGATTCCTTTAAATGATGTACCAGCCCAGGAAAAGATATTTTCTCCAAAGTTTGAAACCTATTTCTGTTTTGACCATATAAATCAGGTTCAAATGTGCAATGATGACAGAGAGGAGGGTGGGAGTAGCAACTTCTTTCTAACACCAGAGGAAGTTGTTGATAGTGCATGCTAGCGAGCAGATTACTCAGCCTTCTGAATACTATGACCACTAGCAAAATTCACTTAGACTGCGCTCACATGCTGAGGGCCTTTAATGCTTTGACAGTGTCAGGAACACATGACAGTGCAAGAGTAAGCAAGCAAATCTTTATAATACTTGTGGTAACTTTTACCTAGAGAATCAGTACGTCCCAAGACTCCTGGCAATCACATTATATTATACAAAAACTCTAACAACTTTGAATTAGCTGAGAATCTAAGATTCATAAGGCGAACAATCAATATGACCATCATTTGCATGCTGCAATAGCAATCGGTCATGATTTTGGTATGAATTGTAGTGCTATCCTCAATTGATTGAGAAGCGCAAAAGGCCCTTGTTATGGGAAGACATTGGATAGCAATTTGATCGAACATGTAAATGACAAAAAATGACAGCCATAAAATAATTTGAGATGTGTGCATTGTGTCCATGGTCCTCCAATAGATTTATTTGGTCCTCAACAGATCCAGTGCCAAGTCTATAAGGTGGCAGGTCCCAACTCACTGAGCCACCATGATGGCCAGCATGGTTAGTTGTACCTGTCCTGTGTCACACATTTCCAAACCATTGCTTACTATTGGATTAATCATAAGGGCTAATATGATACCGAATTGTTTTTCATGCCTTCATAGATGGGTTTTCCCAGTTCATTACTGGCATCAGGGCCAGTAATAACAATCACGCAGAAACTGTTCTCAATTTGTTCACAGAAATTATCGAGATCCACAACTTGCCTAGTTGTGTACAGAGAGATCATGGCACCGAGAACCTAAATGTGGCTCATTATATGGACAAAACATGAGGTTTAGAATGGGGATCTTATATCTGGGGCCAGTAAGAACAATCAAGCATCACAAGTTTTGTATAATACACTAAGTATCTCATACTAGGAGTGTGCACAATGTACATATCAAGTGACTATGGTGCGACCTGACAAGTGGGTTTGGCTCCAAGTGGAAGGACTTCTTTCAGTGTCTTGAGACACACGATGGCCTCAATCCTGATCTAGAGAGTCACATGTGGCTCTTGCACCACCTCTTCATGCGAAAGATTGACAGTCCACTGGCTGGACGTTTACAGTCCATGCCTAGTCTGTAAATTTCGCACGCTCGGCGTCAGCCACCGCACATGCGCCTCATACAGACTTGCCACCAGTTCAAACAGAGAGACCTCAAACACCAGAGGTCACAATCAATCGATAACGCTCGATCGTTTCATCCGCCGTGTCTGGAAAATGGACAACAACACCTGGGTTTTAGGGATACAGTGAGTGATCATTCCCTAGATTCTGGTGCTGATCAAGACTGTAATACAGATATAGCTACTAATAGGCTGCAGAAACTCGCATCCGCACTCATCTGCTCATCTCAAGCGAACGTGTTCTGTCTGTATTCCTGCTCTAGAATTCTTTGAAAATGGACAACAAAGGCAGTGACACTCATGAGAGATACAGTGAGTGGTTCCTCTAGTGCTGATCGTGACTTAGATATAACTACTAGCCTGCAGGGACTCACATCTGCACTCATCCATTCGCCTAGAACGAACAACACATTCCATCTCAATTCCTGCTGCCGGACCACCTTCTCTGACCAGGGACGAGAACACCATGGTCAAGGATTATCTCAAGAAGGCCCACCCTATCCGAGTGAGCGCAATCGAGGGTGTCAGAGAAAGTTAAATTTGATCAACAAGTAAGGTAATATGTAGGTACTAAGTACTAGTCAGTGTAAGTAGGGGTAGAGTGCAATATAAACTTGTTCAAAGGGCCAAAAGCTGCTGTGATAGTATGGTGCTAATAGATAAGTAAGTTTGTAAGGTATAGAGTGACGAGGACAAGAATAAAGACAGTAACTTGCGGGATAGATCATGAGATGAAGAAAAACAAGATCAGGTTTGCAAGATGGAGGTCATCTGTGTGAAACATGTTGCAATGGCTGGGTCGTTGTTGAGCAGATCCTTCCATTTCTTTCTGATGGCATCATCCTTGCTGAGGATGTGGGTTTGACCACATTTGAGGGACCGGAAGGCACCATATGCATCTGGGTGGTCGAGATTTCCTCCGAAAAAGTTTCGTGCATTAGCTGCATCTTGTGCTGCATTTTCTTTGCGACGTAAAGTCAATCGATTAAGGATCTGCTGGTAGGTGAGTCTACTTTGGGTCGTTGTGTTCAAATATTCTCCCCAAAATGCATTGGCACTCGGAAAGCGCTGCCATTCCTCTGTAATAAACTAAAAATTGTGTTGAGCCATAAGTTTTGCACATTCATATTCTCCACTCACCTTCCAGTTCCCCAATTCAACTTTAATTGAGTCCCAGGCTGAGTTCTCACTGCGAATTTTTGACTTTTTGAAGAACTCTCCCCAATACTTGATGGGAATGCCACAACCATTTACAACAAGGAGATCAGATGACTCCCACTCATGACAAAGCTGCTCGATATCTCGGGAGAAGTGGATGAGTGGTGTGTTAGTTGTGTAGTGACTTCACACTAGATAGGTCGAAGACTTGAAGGACACTTCAAGGACATTACTATATTAGTAGATAACTTCGAGGACTTCGAGGACACTTTGAGGACAAACCTCTAAGACACTTCGAGGACACATACCATACTAGGAATTGTTTATATTTGTTTACATAGACTCGCCCATAGTGCAGAGTTCACAAGTCTTACATGCTTCGTGCATTGACTTTGAACTCTCAGTTATTCTAACAGGTTATGAGCCCTGCGCTTTAGCAGTCAAATCTGTCGCTGGAGTTCACTGTCTTTGGGCCAACATAGTGCACATTTTCTCTCCTCTCGCATCCAGCCACTGGTACTCTCCCCACCCATTATTCCTTGCTCTCTTTGTTGAAAATCAGCAAAGACAGCCTTTCCTTCAAATTCTACCAAGCCCTTGCCCTTAATTCGTCCCACTGCTGCAAAACTGCCCTGTCTCCTTCGCCATGTCCTCAGAAGACTCGAAATCTATTCGCACTGTCACCAAACTCACTTCTACCAACTATGCTACCTGGAAGAGTGAGATGAAGGCCTATCTTCGAGTCAAGGGTCTCTGGTTGCTTGTCAATGGCACCGAGACTCGACCTACAGAGACAGAAGCTGCAGCAAAGTGGGACACCAAGGCAGACAAGGCAGCTGGAGAGCTGTATCTGGCGTGCTCTGTAGAGCAAAGGACCCATATCGACACTGTCTAGGATGACCCTATCAAGATTTGGACCACCCTGGCTTCCATGCACCTCCAGAAGCGTCCTGGCGCACGCTTCAATGCCTGGGACGACTTCTTCTCTATTAGGAAGCAGCCTGACGAGTCCTTGAGCACCCTTATTTCTAGGATCGAAGATGGCATGTCCAAAGTCCAGGATCTTCGACCCTCTGACCCATCCAAGCCTTACACCATCAAGGAACTCGACCAAGAGCTGGTCTGCATGACCATGGTTCGTTCCCTAGGGGAGGAGTACTCCAATTTTGCGTCGTCTTTGATGCTACTCAAGTTCTTGGACAAGGAGGAACTGAAGGCAGCATTCCTGGCTGAGGAAACCCAAAGGAGGAGATGGCCTGAAGGTTCTGGGACCGATGCAGCCCTGTTTACTGCATCTGGAGACTGTAGATGCGGCACCTCTGTCACCTGCTGGTACTGCGAGAAGCCTGGTCACTGCACCCACAAGTGCAGGAGTCTTAAAGGTGATAAGGATCGTTGCAAGACCAAAAATGATGGTCGAAAAGGTGGAAGGAGCGCTAACAAGGCTTCTGAGGTGTACCAATCATTGTCCACAGTGTCTACACCCTCTCCCAATGCCACTACACCCACCACTGCCCAGAACACCTCTCAGAGCGCCCAACAGGTCATGGAATTTGCTGGTAATGCAAGTCTTCGCACTTTTGACCCATCCCATCCACTTTGCAACTTGATGCACATGCTGACTGGAATGCAGACACAGGTGCTACCTCTCACATGACTCCCCATCGTCACTGGCTGCGCAATTATGCGCCCAAACACGTCCCTATCAAGCTAACAGACAACAACATAGTCTATTCAGCTGGTGAGGGCATTGGGAAGCATGTTGAAGCTGTAGAATTCACTAGAGTCCTTCATATACCAGATTTGCAAAACAATCTACTATCTGTCCTATATCTAACTTGCAGCATGGGGTTCACTGTGTTCATTAATCCATCTAAGATGTCCTTCGAACACACCACTGGTCCCCCACTGTTTGTAGCCAGCATCAGCAACTCGAATGCTGCATTTTTAGATGGTTCTACTGTTGCAATAACTGAATATGCATCTGCAGCTGCGACTCTGCCCCTAGACTTTGACCTGTGGCACAGGAGACTCGCCCACCATCACTTAGAAGGCATTAAGACACTTATAAGGGAGAATCAAGTCACTGGGATGACCATAGAGTTGAAATCTGCACCAGATCCTCTCTGCAAACCATGTCTAGCTGGCAAGATGCACGCAAATGCTCTAGGTGCTCTAGTGCATGTGTGAAACAGATGCCCCACAAGTGCAGTTAAAAGTGCCACTCCCTATGAACTGTGGCATGGAAGGAAGCCAGATGTCTCCTACCTTCAAGTCTGGGCTTGCACTGCCTATGTGCATGTCCAGAAGGACAAGAGAGAAGGACTTGGACCTCACATGGAGAAATGTGTATTCATTGGGTATCCTCAGGGCTACAAGGGCTGGAAGTTCTATAATCCCACTATTAAGAAGACAGTAATATCAGAAAGAGCTGATTTTGATGAAAGATATTTCCCCCTCTCGAAGTGTCCCACTGAGCCTTCAATACCGGTCCCTAGGGAGCGATGACCCTCCAGATGTGCCTCTTATTGCTCCTGTAGTGTCTATTGTTAATCCAGATCCTCCTCATGTTTGAACTCCATCTCCACCACCATCTCCACCTCCTAGACCGCCCTCTCCCATTGGCATCGGAGCCAGACTCCCCAGGTGCAATAGAACCAAGCCTAGAGAGTGGTGGAAGCTATCTCCAGCCCAACTACACTCTGATGTCGATGATGAGATCGAGGATGTGGATCTTGGCCATGAGATTGTCCTCTCTGCAGCTTCACCAGCTGAACCGCTGTCCTACTCCGAAGCTCTGAAGTGCCCTGATGCGGAGCAGTGGAAACAAGCTGCCATGGAGGAGCTGAATGCCCACAGCATCAATGGCACTTGGCAGCTCGTCCCCAGACCTTCTGGAAAGAATGTTGTAGGCTGCAAGTGGGTGTTCAAGGTGAAGTGCAATGCAGACGGATCTGTGGAGCGCTACAAAGGCAGATTGGTGGCCAAAGGTGCCTACCTCAATGGGGAGATGGACTGTGACGTCTACATAGAGCAGCCTGAGAAATTTGTTCAAGGAGATGCGAAAGAGATGGTTTGCCTGTTGAAGAAGAGCATATATGGCACTAAGCAAGGAGGCAATAACTTTGAGGACTTCGAGGACACTTTGAGGACAAACCTCTAAGACACCTCAAGGACATATACCATACTAGGAATTGTTTATATTTGTTTACATAGACTCGTCCATAGTGCAGAGTTCACAAGTCTTACATGCTTTGTGCATTGACTTTGAACTCTCAGGTATAGTACTTTACTTATTTACACAATAATATCAAGTGCATTGATTTTGAACTCTCAGTTATTCTAACACGAAGCATGAAAGACTGTGAACTCTGCACTATGGGCGAGTCTATGTAAACAAATATAAACAATTCCTAGTATGGTATATGTCCTTGAGGTGTCTTAGAGGTTTGTCCTCAAAGTGTCCTCGAAGTTATCTACTAATATAGTAATGTTCTTGAAGTGTCCTTCAAGTCTCAGAAGTCTTAGAAGTCTTCGAACTATCTAGTGTGAAGTCACCACACAACTAACATGTTCTGGGAAGAAGAACCCATGTGAACTGTTAGCACACCAGCAAGGAGGGTAGCGAGGGTCGAGGGAGGCGCTGCAGAGGCTGGAGGATTTTGGAGGAAGGAAGGTGTTGTTATAATTAGAACATCAGCCAACTTGGGTCTCTCACACACCAGTGGTTTTGGAGTTTTTCACTATGCAAGATTTGTTTTGAAATGTTAGTGATAAAGCTGGGATTCTTACTATACATTTTTGACTCAGTAAAAATAAAAAAAATTGAATGAGTTGTTAGTTGTGTGGTGACTTCACACTAGATAGGTCGAAGACTTCTAAGACTTCGAAGACTTGAAGGACACTTCAAGGACATTACTATATTAGTAGATAACTTCGAGGACTTTGAGGACACTTCAAGGACATTACTATATTAGTAGAGGACTTCGAGGACACTTTGAGGACAGACCTCTAAGACACTTCGAGGACACATACCATACTAGGAATTGTTTATATTTGTTTACATAGACTCGCCCATAGTGCAGAGTTCACAAGTCTTACATGCTTCGTGCATTGACTTTGAACTCTCAGGTATAGTACTTTACTTATTTACACAATAATATCAAGTGCATTGACTTTGAACTCTCAGTTCTTCTAACAGGTTATGAGCCCTGCGCTTTAGCAGTCAAATCTGTCGCTGGAGTTCACTGTCTTTGGGCCAACTTAGTGCGCATTTTCCCTCCTCTCGCATCCAGCCACTGGTGCTCTCCCCACCCATTATCCCTTGCTCTCTTTGTTGAAAATCAGCAAAGACAGCCTTTCCTTCAAATTCTACCAAGCCCTTGCCCTTAATTCGTCCCACTGCTGCAAAACTGCGCTGTCTCCCTCGCCATGTCCTCAGAAGACTCCAAATCTATTCGCACTGTCACCAAACTCACTTCTACCAACTATGCTACCTGGAAGGGTGAGATGAAGGCCTATCTTCGAGTCAAGGGTCTCTGGTTGCTTGTCAATGGCATCGAGACTCGACCTACAGAGACAGAAGCTGCAGCAAAGTGGGACACCAAGGCAGACAAGGCAGCTGGGGAGCTGTATCTGGCGTGCTCTGTAGAGCAAAGGACCCATATCGACGCTGTCCAGGACGACCCTGTCAAGATTTGGACCACCCTGGCTTCCACGCACCTCCAGAAGCGTCCTGGCGCGCGCTTCAATGCCTGGGACGACTTCTTCTCTATTAGGAAGCAGCCTGACGAGTCCTTGAGCACCCTCATTGCCAGGATCGAAGATGGCATGTCCAAAGTCCAGGAGCTTCGACCCTCAGACCCATCCAAGCCTTACACCATCAAGGAACTCGATCAAGAGCTGGTCTGCATGACCATGGTTCGTTCCCTGGGCGAGGAGTACTCCAATTTTGCGTCGTCTTTGATGCTACTCAAGTCCTTGGACAAGGAGGAACTGAAGGCAGCATTCCTGGCTGAGGAAACCCAAAGGAGGAGACGTCCTGAAGGTTCTGGGACCGATGCAGCGCTGTTTACTGCGTCTGGAGACTGTAGATGCGGCACCTCTGTCACCTGCTGGTACTGCGAGAAGCCTGGTCACTGCACCCACAAGTGCAGGAGTCTTAAAGGTGATAAGGATCGTCGCAAGACCAAAAACGATGGTCGAAAAGGTGGAAGGAGCGCTAACAAGGCTTCTGAGGCGTCCCAATCATCGTCTGCAGCGTCTACACCCTCTCCCAACACCGCTGCACCCGCCTCCAACTCGACCACTGCCCAGAACACCTCCCAGAGCGCCCAACAGGTCACGGAATTTGCTGGTAATGCAAGTCTTCGCACTTTTGACCCATCTCATCCGCTTTGCCCCTTGCAACTCGATGCACATGCTGACTGGAATGCAGACACAGGTGCTACCTCTCACATGACCCCCCATCGTCACTGGCTGCGCAATTATGCGCCCAAACGCGTCCCTATCAAGCTCGCAGACAACAACATAGTCTATTCAGCTGGCGAGGGCACAGTGGTATTCAGTCCAGTCATTAATGGGAGGCGTGTCGAAGCTGTAGAATTCACTAGAGTCCTTCATGTACCAGATTTGCGAAATAATCTACTATCTGTCCTATATCTAACTCGCAACATGGGGTTCGCTGTGCTCATTAATGCATCTAAGATGTCCTTCGAACGCCCCACTGGTACCCCACTCTTTGTAGCCAGCATCAGCAACTCGAATGCTGCATTCCTGGATGGTTCTACTGTTGCATTAACTGAATATGCGTCTGCAGCTGCGACTCTGCCCCTAGACTTCGACCTATGGCACAGGAGGCTCGCTCACCATCACCTAGAAGGTATTAAGACGCTTATAAGGGAGAAGCTCGTCACTGGGATGACCATAGAGTCGAAATCTGCACCAGATCCTATCTGCGAACCATGCCTAGCTGGCAAGATGCACGCAAACCCCTTCCCTCCTTCTGAATGGCGCGCTTCCAGGCCTCTCGAGCTCGTCCACACCGACGTGCACCAAGTCCCTCACCCCAGCTTCTCAGGATTTCGCTATTGGGTGTCCTTCATAGACGACTACTCCAGATTCAGATTCGTCCTGCCCATCAAAGCAAAGTCTGATGTCTTTGAGGCCTTCAAGACATTCAAGGCTTATGCTGAGAACCAGTCAGAGCGAAAAATCAAGATCCTGAGGGACGACAAGGGAGGGGAGTACATGAGCAATGCTTTCTTGCAGTTCACCAACTCCTGCGGCATAGAACGGCAGCACACAGTCCGAGCACGTCCTCAGCAGAATGGTGTTGCAGAGCGAGCCAACAGGCTGCTCTCTGAGCGCATCACCACCATGCTGGATGAAACTGGCCTACCTAAAGCATTCTGGGGCGAGGCTCTAGGTGCCCTAGTGCACGTGTGGAACAGATGCCCCACAAGCGCAGTGAAAAGCGCCACTCCCTACGAACTGTGGCATGGAAGGAAGCCAGATGTCTCCCATCTTCGAGTCTGGGGTTGCACTGCCTATGTGCACGTGCAGAAGGACAAGAGAGAAGGACTCGGATCTCACATGGAGAAATGCGTGTTCATTGGGTATCCTCAGGGCTACAAGGGCTGGAAGTTCTACAATACCACTACTAAGAAGACAGTAATATCAGAACGAGCTGATTTTGATGAAAGATATTTCCCCCTCTCGAAGCGACCCACTGAGCCTTCGATACCAGTCCCTACTGCACCTACACTTGCACCAACTCGCCCTACTGTCCCACCTATTCCACAGACACGAAGGACATTCCCAATACCTGACGATTCAGATGCTGATGATGAATCCAGCTCTGATGAGTATCAGGATCATGGGGGGAGCAATGGTCCTCCAGATGCGCCTCCTGCTGCCCCTGTAGTCCCTAATATTGATCCAGATCCTCCTCAAGTCCGAGCCTCGTCTCCAACTCCATCCCCACCACCATCTCCACCTCCTAGACCGCCCTCGCCCATTGGCATTGGAGCCAGACTGCCCAGGCGCAATAGAACCAAGCCTAGAGAGTGGTGGAAGCTATCTCCAGCCCAACTACACTCTGATGTGGATGATGACATCGAGGACGCGGATCTTGGCCATGAGATTGTCCTCTCTGCAGCTTCACCAGCTGAACCCCTGTCCTACTCCGAAGCTCTGAAGCGCCCTGATGCGGAGCAGTGGAAACAAGCTGCCATGGAGGAGCTGAACGCCCACAGCATCAATGGCACTTGGCAGCTCGTCCCCAGACCTGCTGGAAAGAAGGTCATAGGCTGCAAGTGGGTGTTCAAGGTGAAGCGCAATGCAGACGGATCTGTGGAGCGCTACAAAGGCAGATTGGTGGCCAAAGGCTACAATCAACGACCTGGCTTCGACTACCTCGAAATATTTGCGCCCACAGTCAGAATGTCCAGCATAAGAGTCGTCCTAGCCATGGCCGCCATTCACGACCTCCACCTGCGCTCTATAGACATATCTCATGCCTACCTCAATGGGGAGATGGACTGCGACGTCTACATGGAGCAGCCTGAGGGATTTGTTGAAGGAGATGCCAAAGAGATGGTTTGCTTGTTGAAGAAGAGCATATATGGCACCAAGCAAGGAGGCAACAGATGGAACCAGAAAATGCGCTCTGTGCTCGAGTCTTTGGGCTACACTCAGTCCTACTCGGACGCGTCCATCTACATCTATCTAAAGGACAATGTAAGGATCATTCTGCCAGTCTTCGTAGATGACATGACCTTTGCTTCGAAATCTGCTGCTGCCATCGACCGCACCATCAAGGAGCTCTCCCAGCACTTCAAGCTTCGCGATCTCGGTCCCACCACTCAGCTTCTGGGCATCAAGATAGACAGAGACTGGTCTAAACACTCCATCACCATATCTCAACAGCAGTACTGTCTAGACATCCTCGAGCGTTTTGGCATGGCTGATTGCAAGCCCATATCCACTCCCATGCAGCCCAACCTTCGACTCAGTCGCTCCCAGAGCCCCCAGACGCCTGAAGAGGTCCAGCTCATGAAGACCGTCCCATACCTAGCTGCAGTAGGCGCCCTGATGTACCTGGCAACAACAACTCGACCAGACATTGCCCACGCTGTTGGTTATCTTGCCAGATTCAACTCGAATCCAGGATTAGCTCACTGGCAAGCTGTCAAGCACCTGCTTCGCTATCTCAGAGGTACTGCCGACTACAAGATCACTTATGCGCCTGATCCATCAAGCACCGAACTGTTCTCAACCTATTCCGATGCTGATCATGGTGGATGCAAGGACACAGGGCGCTCCACTGGTGGATACTTGGTGAAGATTGGCTCTGGAGTCGTCTCGTGGTCTTCTAAGCTACAAAGCATTGTTGCGCTATCTACTACCGAAGCAGAGTACATCTCTGCAGTCTCAGCAGGCAAGGAGATCCGATGGATGCGAAACTTGCTGCAGGAGATGGGATTCTCCACCACTGCACCATCCATACTTAGAATAGACAACCAGAGCGCCATATCTGTTGCCAAACACCCAGAACACCACGGGAGGATGAAGCAACTGGATCTTAGTTGGTATTGGCTCAGAGACGTTGTTCACAAAGAGATAATTGCGCCTATCTTTGTGCCCACAGCTGATCAGCCAGCCGACATCTTGACAAAGTCTTTGAGTCGACCCAAGGTGGAACTATTTTGCAGGATGATGGGACTACACAGATGAGGGGGGAGTTGTTAGAGATTAGAGATGTGTTCAGTCAGGGGGGAGTGTTAGTTGTGTGGTGACTTCACACTAGATAGGTCGAAGACTTCTAAGACTTCGAAGACTTGAAGGACACTTCAAGGACATTACTATATTAGTAGATAACTTCGAGGACTTTGAGGACACTTCAAGGACATTACTATATTAGTAGAGGACTTCGAGGACACTTTGAGGACAGACCTCTAAGACACTTCGAGGACACATACCATACTAGGAATTGTTTATATTTGTTTACATAGACTCGCCCATAGTGCAGAGTTCACAAGTCTTACATGCTTCGTGCATTGACTTTGAACTCTCAGGTATAGTACTTTACTTATTTACACAATAATATCAAGTGCATTGACTTTGAACTCTCAGTTCTTCTAACATGAGTGGCCAAATCCTGGGTAAAGTTCTACATTTTATGAATCATTTTCATGTTGTAAAAGAAAGACATTTAACTAACAGCATATGAGAGTTACTATTGGACAAAATAAAATAAAAAAATTGTTTGCATGATGGTGGTCAATTATATGAGCATCATCAATAGACTCTCAGTCAATCCCATATGATGCTGGATCATCCAATTCTTCATTGTCGTTGAGACCCTCAAAACCATGTACTCTATTTTCTAACATTCCAAAGAAAAACATATCTCTTGGACTGCGGTGTTGTTCACCTCGAATGGATATGACATGATTGTTCTATGCTTCTGCCTATTCCAGAGCATCCTCATTAATGACATCTAAGAAGTTGGACTGAGCATGAGGAAATTGACGGTCCAGGGAGCTTACCTAAGCTAGCAGTGCCACCGGGGTGGTCCGTGGGTTGGAACGACCCCAAGGGCAACAGACGTGGTGGCAGAGAGCATCCAGACGGTAGGAGGGAAGGTGCAAAATATAGTGGGGGCCATAATAGATGGGTTATGGGATGCCAGGACGCGTCGTGCGCAACAAAAGTTCAAGCCAAACACGTGTGTTGAAGTGTGAGCACCCACAGTTGAGTACCTTAGCGACGCTTAGCACCAGACTGTAAATTTCCCACGTAGGACTGTCAATCTTTTGGCTGGCAGCCGTCTGCTGCTGGTCTTATCTTTGCGTGCGTCTCAGCGAAAGCAGGGAGTGCAGCTCTGTGCACTCGAGAAATGTACAGTCTCAATGCTGCCGGCTTTACAGTCTGGGTGGCTGTTCACACACCATTCTTCCTCAGAGCCTCCTTTCTTCGCATCCTCTCCACCATCAATGCACAACTTTGCCAATCTGCAATACAACCTTACTTTGTGCTCACAACTCTTTGTCTCCTCAACATGGGTGTCCATGGACTGTGGACGGTATGTTTCTGACTCGTCGAACTTTGATTGCTCACACTTTTTCTCAATGTCTAGTATCTGAAACCAAGCGCAACGACGGAGTCGCTCGCAGCACTCGCATTGGACAGACGATATACTACTGGGTGCCCGCCCTTCTGTCCCTTTGTTATCGGGGTAGATGTCAGGTGCGTTTTCTTCCTTCTTTGCATTGACTATGGCGGATGACACCATCTGCAGTGTCTGGTTTGAACAGTGCCAACAGGTGGCTCAGGGACGGGCCCATGCCCAGAGTGGTCAAAACCCTCCTCTATGTACCTTCCGACACTTAAGCATGGACAAAAGGTGACAATAACAAAGACACACTGGATGACGAAGCCGACTCAACACATCCTTGATGCATTCAATATCCAGTGGTTTATGGTATGTACCTTCTCTTAACATTTGTCCTTGCTACTGAAGTATCTTAGGCCAAAGGTGAAGCTGAAGCCGAGCTTGCGGCTATGAATGGGACTGGCATGATTGATGCTGTCATGACGGATGACAGTGATGTCTTTGCATTTGGTGGCCGCCTCATCCTTCGAAAGTATGGTTTCTCTGTTGAATGGGGTATGGGCTGTTGACTAACCAAACACAAGCTCGTCATTGTCAGATTCCACTGTCGATGTGTACAGAGCCAACCTGCCATGGGAGGACTATGCTCTTGTCAGCTTGCTGTGTGGCAGTGATTATGACCCTGTGAGTATCTCACAGATTGTAAATTGTTTATACCCTCATTTTCTTTCTTCATTTGAGGCTGAATTGCCAGGTTGTGGTCCAGCCACTGCCTTTGGACTTGCACGGTGTGGTCTTGGCCACTCTCTGCATGTTGCTGAGTCTCGCCATCACTTTTTGTTAGATGTGTGGTGACTTCACACTAGATAGGTCAAAGACTTCTAAGACTTTGAAGACTTGAAGGACACTTCAAGGACATTACTATATTAGTAGATAACTTCGAGGACTTCGAGGACACTTTGAGGACACATACCATACTAGGAATTGTTTATACTTGTTTACATAGACTCGCCCATAGTGCAGAGTTCACAAGTCTTACATGCTTTGTGCATTGACTTTGAACTCTCAGGTATAGTACTTTACTTATTTACACAATAATATCAAGTGCATTGACTTTGAACTCTCAGTTATTCTAACACTTTTATGGTCCACTTCGTCAGTCATGGCGCGAGGACATGGCACACCAACTTCACTATGATCCAATGTCTCGTGTTGGCCATTGCAACCCTGCTCTTGCTGACAATATCTCCGACACAGTTCCAGATATCAATACTTGGTCAGCGTACCTTGATCCTGCTGTCTCTGAGCCTCTGGTACCTGTCTGTCAACCTGGTGTCCCGGATGTTGGCAAAATTGCGGCCGCAGTAGTCTCTCTATTAGGCTGGGAAGATGCAGATCAACTACTCAACACCTTCCACAACAAAATCTGGCCTGGCGTTGTAGTGAGTGAATTATTGCAAGACCTGTCTACCTGGCAACCAAACAACCAGGATGTAAGTTGAGGACACCTAGATTTGTGTTTTGTTTGCTAATCAGACAATGTAACAAGGTCGCACTTGCAGCAGCTGCTACACAGTACTTTTTTCTTCATTTTGCCTGCAAAAAGTGGACCATTGCTGGACTTCTTGGCTACAATGTGTGAATGCCTGCTGGCGCCCTCGAGAAAGACACATTTAGGTTCCTTGAACATCTATCCATGCCGGAAGGGCCATCAAAGCCATTTTACCTGTGGGTGCCTGAGGACATCTATGAGGCCTGGATTAAATTTATGTGGACTTCGCTGTCAGATGTTGATGAGTCATCGAAGGTGCGTCCTTCATTGTGACCTTGCCAATGCTGCTTGAGGTATTTGGTTAGGGACAAGGGGGTTCCTCATTACAAGACATTATTGATCTGACACATCAGAGTGATGACCTTGAGAGTGGGGGTCCTAGTTGCAGTTCAGAGAGTAAAGGGAAGTCGAAAGCTCAGTCTATGAATTTCATTGACCTCACGTAGTTTCAACTGGTGATTGTATTGACATGATATGTGGCAATTGTCTGAGTACCATATGACTGAATACATGTTTTGTTTTGTTTCGAGCTAAGCACAGGCACATGTGCGACCACATATGGGGCAGGGATCATCTCGAGCACGATCAGGGTTGAAGTAATACTCACGCTTGACAAATGGACTATCAGTCCAGGATAGTAAATATTTAAAAATCGTGCCTGGGTTGTCGAAGTTCTCAGCCCATCCTCCCCATGTGCAAATGTTGCGGAATAGCCAGCGGAGAACCATGGCAAGATACTGACACCCACCACGACGGAATGAGTGTGTCCCATATGGGCGAGGGTCAACACCAATGTCCAGAAGATTGTTTTGGAAGCACTCAAGAAATGACTCAGATGACTGTGAATCCCCAGGTAGGTCAATCACTGTCCACAACTTGAATGTAAAAGGACATACCATAGCATCTGTTGGGGTGACACTCACTCCATCATTACCCATCTTTTTGCGGAACACATATCTATCAAGATGATCATTCCCTTAACATGCAAGAAGCCACCACACAGCAAATGCATGGATGAGACACATCCATTGACGCATTCAATCCCAATTTGGCACAGACGACACAAATATCACACTATACCAAAGTAAGAAGGGAGTTGACCGTATCCAGCGCACATTACAGGACAGCGACAGGCAGGGAAACTCAGCATGGGTATGTGGCACTCCATCCACTGCAAGATAGGACTCACCTTTTCATAAATGCAGGCCCAAGCTGTTGTTGCATGCTTTGGCATCAGTGCTGATCTGCGGCCCATCAATGAGGCTGTGTCGACATCACATGTTGCTGGGGAGCCTAGTCAGGACAAAGATCCCAGGAGCGCTGAAGCAACAACGGGTCCGCATGGAGATAGCGAGGAGGTATGTTTTGCTACTAAACAATTGTTGTGCTGACTCTACCCTTTATTTTAATTATTTAGGACACTTTAGCACTCACACGTTATGTATGGTGCTTCCAACGCAACTTATTCAACCGGGTTGGCAAAGTGGAGGACAAAATTGACCAAGTGCTGCGCTTGCACACAATCACAAGCCTGTCTGTCCCTCCAGAGACTGCAGCTGCAGTGCCAATTACTGTGGCAGTACCTACAGCAGCACCTTTAGACACTGCACCTTGTACAATCCCTCAAGAAGATATTCCCACAGCAAACTTAGGATCACACATCTCAGAAGCGAAGATTTCGCATACGACAAGTCTCAACTGTGAGGTCCACCATGTTAGAATAACTGAGAGTTCAAAGTCAATGCACAAAGCATGTAAGACTTGTGAACTCTGCACTATGGGCAAGTCTATGTAAACAAATATAAACAATTCCTAGTATGGTATGTGTCCTCAAAGTGTCCTCAAAGTCCTCGAAGTTATCTACTAATATAGTAATGTCCTTGAAGTGTCCTTCAAGTTTTCGACCTATTAGTGTGAAGTCACCACACAACTAACAAGTATTGCCCCTTATTTCAGAGAGGGAGATATAACAAGTCCGGAGGATCAGACGAGTACCATAATGATATCCGAAGGTCGTCCGGATAACAGAAGCACGCATAAGACTAATCCGGACAGGTCCAGACTAGAAAACAACAGAGTATAGACTATCCGAAGATAGAGTTGGAGATGTAGACTTTATAGGATACAATCCTTAAGTCTTGGAATGCGACAAGAGCTTAACTAGGCTCGAGTCCGGAGGACAGAAAGAGAACAAACTAAGATGATATTTGAACTGAGGTATTACAGGGCATATACAAGGGGTTATATACTAGAAGACTATCCGAGGCTATGCACAAAGTATAAGTGAAGTTTATCACAAGTTTAAACGCGAGTCGGAAATTAGCACAGGTTAACAAATCATAAAGCATAGCCGGAAGTAAGGATAACTGAGATACCGGGAACAAGGAATACCGAATAAAGGAATAGGCTGTGATTAATGTTATATGAACAGGAAATGAATAGGAAGCTTATCGTATCTTGGATCGGAAGTGGATCTGTATATCAGATCAGATCAGATCAGATCTAGGGTCTAAGGTCCGGATGAGAAGCATGGATATATGGGATATGACATATTCTGACACCAATACCTGATGCTTGATCAGCACAAAACAGAAATTCCAAAGTGGTGAAATTGCTGTTAGCGGGGACCAATGGCCTCTGTTTGTCTATGCCAACGAGGCCTATGATCCAGAGGATCCTTGGAATGGCCTCCTCAGAAGCCGTTTACTTGTAAATGTGAGTGCACCTGGTTCTATTTTGAATACATGCATACTTATTATACATCATTAAACAAGGCATTCAGGCATGTTTTTACATTACCAAGTTCAGTGGACAAAGAGCTCAAGGCAACACATGTAGGAAACACTCGATTTCATGGTATGACTAATGTTACAGCTGCTTCAGTAGCATATGTGGCAACTCAGGTTTCTATGGAACTTCTGTTGTTGTTTATTTGTGACTAACAATTGGCATAGATTCAATTTGCACTCTGTTCATCCTCAGTATTTTCGTGCACCGATACAGTCACAGGTTCTGAAACATTCTATCACTCTCTTCTCGACCTTTTGGAGGACCCAGATGAACATGGGGAAGTCATAGAACTACTGCTCTGGTGGAATCAGTACTTCATTATATTCTCTGAAATGGTCAAACTCTTACTGTGACTTAGTCAGATATTTCCAATGTCATCGGCTGCTAAACAATCTCTCAAGGTCAACAGTGCTCTCTCTAAAATTCGCCAAAAGAGAGCCACTCTGAAAGATGCAGATGGAAGTACTACTTGATGTATTTTGGCCATTGGGTTCATAGTGCTACTATTGTTATAATATATATTGGAGCGTCAATTTACATGATATTCTATGATTCTGAGAGCAAATGTCAAACTTCTGGTGTCAGTGAGAGGGACCTGAGAAGTAGTGCAATCAACAACTTATCATACAGGAGGAGACCAGCACAAAACATTCTGAAGGGATCTGATGGCGCCCTGCCATACATGAGCAATGTGGTATCTGTGACATAGACCACCCTCACATGAGAGAGTTGTAAGTTGGTGTCAGTGAGAGGGACCTGGGAAGCAGTGCAATTAACAACTTACCATGCAGCAGAATACCAACACCCAAACTTATGATTGATTTAGCCAATGATGCATGCATAATTTTTTCTTGCAGAGGCCTGTCAAGTGATATCAGTTGTCATGCTGCATGTCAATAGTAACATGTTAGACTTACACTGCAAGCATGAACCATAACCTGCAAAATGTTGGATCAATTGAGCACTTAGTAATGTCTGCCCATCATCTAGCCAATGGTGTGAATTGCATTTGGCCAACAAGCAGTTGGCAGATATAAAGTGTACCTTCTTAATAAAAAAGATAGGCATGGGATATTTCATTCAAGTAACTCCAGATATATAATGGTTTGTCTACATGTTGGAAAAAGTTATTTTTGGTCGGCATGCCTTATAGGGCATTGTAAGTCCTCAATTGACCAAGCCCATTTGAAGTGCCTTGAAAGCGGACCCGAAAAAATTGCAAGCGAGGCTAAATTGACACTTGGAAGCCGATTGCAACCTCATTTAGGGATAGGTTAGGGACAAATCTTGACAAAAGCTTCAGTTACAGCTCCTTGCAAGTTCTTTCCAATTAACTTGGAAAATTTTCGGGTGCTCTTGCAACCCCTCAATTAACCTCAAGAGAGGTCCCTTGCAAGGCACCTTTGGAAATTTCTGACACAGATCTATCATAATAATGCTTATTTCATTCATTTCAGACAATATAAAGGAAGATAAAGCTTTATCATTGTGAGGTCAATTCTCTAATATAGCTTTATACCAAGCACTGCCACAGTCTAGTGCTCATTGAGTGGCCAGAGGCCTGAGTGTGTACTTTACTAGTTACTAATAAGAAAGCTGCAAAGTCTAATTCATTGGAAGACCCTACTTGTTTTAAGTCAGGGCCTACTTAAACAAATTTTGCTTAACTGTACTTGAAATTTTTGTCAAGTCACACAAAGTTCCTTTAAGTTGTGGTAAGTAATTTTATAATTTTCCTGATGTGGGTAGAAAGAGTGAAACAGATAGAGCAAAACAGATCCCAAACTAAACAAATAGAAATAAGGAAATAGATCCCAGACTAGAGTGAAATAGATTCCAAGCCTAGAAAAATAGATAGAGAGATAGAGACAGAGACACACATACACACACATAAATACTCAGAAAAACAAAAGACTTCTCAAAACAAATAAAGGAAAATCAACCAGGCCTTGCTGGTTGTTGAGCACAGTGAGCTCAATGGCTCCTACTGTCTCATCAATGCACCTGACAATCTCAAACAGCTCTTTGCTGTTCTTGCTGATGCTAATCACACACAAACCTCACTTGCAATTTTATTAAGGCGATTCTGAGGAATCTGGTTGATTGATTTTTAGGCCAAAACAGAGGTCCTTATATAGACAATTCTATATGGCTATGCTAATTTATTCTTGTGTACCTAGATATATTCAATTGTTGTTTTCTCACATATCTAGATATACTATATTATTTGTCATAGGTTATAATACTTATGTGAATTGTATGTAGGTGACATGATTGGTAAGGCTTAGTCATAAGTCAGCTGAATGTGGTAAGAGAACATGATTTACATAATGTGTTGAAACTTGTTTTGTATTTGGTTCTGTTTAGAGATGTGAGATATGACATAGGGCAAAACCAGGCAACATATGTATTTAAAGTTTCCTGGAAGTTCCCACAAACAAACGTATGCGGGAAATAATTTTCATGGATACTTCAGATGCATGAGAATCTGGCTGAATCATCTTTGAGCCAAATAACACAAAATTCATTCCATGCAAAATTTCCAAAAAATATTCACTAGCACCGCTCAGTCATGTACCGGACCAGTTTGGTGCAGGTCATTAGGCATGACTGTGGCCAATGCAATCATGAATGGAACATAGCAAGGTAAGATATACTGCAAGCGCTCGAGCTTTTTATACTCAGTGTGAAACTCTCCCTAGGATGTGATACAGTGAGCTTCATCAAACACAAACCCCATTATCTGTGATGTAAAAGTTGGTTTCTGCAGGAGCTTTTCAAATTCTCCACCAGGCTTCACCAACTGCTTGGGGCTGGTTATGATAGCATGGTAGTGCATGTCTTCAATATCCTGTGAGTGAGTGAGTGAGCTTTGGTAAGTAAAAGAATAGGCAGACTTAATTGAAAGTTGACAAGGCTTGCTATCTCAGCTGATATAGAGATACTCTTGATACTGGCTTTCTTCAGGAAGCTAACACTCTGGTGTCTGAGTTGGTTGAGTGGCATAATAACGATTTGAATGTCAGTGTCCATGAGTGTGAGTAGTGACTAGAAGGCAAGTTTTTTTTTTATTTCTGTGCTAGTAATGCAGATAACATCTCCAGCTTTCTTCAGGAATACCTCTGCAACTTTAAGCTGCCACAGGCATGCCCTCTTGCCAAACTGCTTATGCAGCTTTTCTCAGATGAGAGAATGACTAGGGGTTTTGGGGTGTAATTCTGCCAATGTGACCAAGAAGAAAATTTGTGTTTGTAAATAAACTTGTATTAAAGTATTATATCTACATTCAGCCAGCATGCTGCATCTCCTGCCACTGTGGCTGACCTTTGTTTACAAATTTTTTGTGCTAGTCACTACTGGAGAGGTTGAGGAATAAGGTTGTGCTGGGTTTAAATAGATATGTGGTATCTATTGGTCCTGTGTCTACTAGTCATTTGTACATACATAGTCCTCGAACCTCTCCAACTATGATGAGAACAAGCCTGCTATACTTCCTGCAATAACTTATCTATCATATGTAACAGTTATGAAAGGTGTATATCTTCATTGGTATTATGTTCCTCTTGCAAAGTCTTATTCTTCAATACCACTATGCTATGATTATTTATTGCTTTATCTTTAGATATAATTCAGTGAACATGTGAGCTGAATTTGTCATTTATATCTATAAAAACCATCTTTGCACTGGTTTCCTGATATTGATTTACCTTAGAAGTAGTCCCTTATAGTTTTCAGCCCCTATTAGGTTTCTCATACCTAGGACTCTCTTACCTTGCAATATACATTTGCCCTCACTCACTCTAAAACCTTGTTCCTTGTTTCTCTATACCTAGTCCATGCATTCCACCCTTTTCTTCATTTTCCCGCACTTTCCATATCTTCAAATGCATGTTCCTGCGCTTTGGACAGCCTTGCATTCATTCTTAAAGCCTCACATATACCTGTCCTAGATTTCCCAGCATCTTAGCAAGCCTCAGGTCACACATATCTATCGTCATTCTAGTGGCAATTCCCTTTAGGATCAAACACATCTATTACAGACATAGCAGCAAGGTGTTGCATGACCCGAAAATATTTTTCCTGCTACTCAGCAGAATTGTTGTTTATATAGCACATATATGTATATAAAATCACTGCTAATAGTATACACTGATACTATATTCTTTTTGCATGTTACAATATGTAATAGTTTGTGTTGTTTGTATACTTGTAAGCTATTTGTTCATTAGTGCTACTGTCTACTTGCAGTCATATATTTGTGTCATGTGATGCCTTGTGCAAGTTATCAAAAGTGTAGGAATTGTCACAAAATCAATAGTTTGCTGATGTTTATGTTAGCCAGAAAATGCAGACCAAATATCTAAACTTGCTTTGAGATTATTTACTCTTTTCTTGACTGTAACTATACTGCCTAGTGTGCAAAAACCTGTGTATCTAACAAGGGGAATCCAAATTAGTATCCAGTGGTTGTATAGTACTTGTACTGTAGGACCAAATTTATTCTGAATTGAATAAAACCACTGGACTGTATATAGTGATGTGCTGGCCCAGCTTGGCCTAAAAGCTATGGCCTTGGCCTGGCTCAAGGTGGCTTTGGCTTTCAAAAATCTCAGGCCAGGCCATTAGCCAAAGCCATGGCTTGGCTTTGGCCCAAGCACAGCTTGCTGAGCAAAAATTCAATGAATACATTTGCAAACTAATCTAGGCTAGTAATCTGACATTTCAGATACAGATATATCATCACTGTTGTTCTTGTCATTCAAAATGAATGTGTCCCAACCCTGTTCATTGTCTGTGACATCACCCTCCTTCTCCAAAATATCAGCTTTGGTGTTAGAGTCACTGATGGATTGTGCTGACCATCAGAGGCTAGTATGAGGCAGGGACAGAATGTGATGAAAAATATTAATTGGGGGTGCATGACACTATAATGTGCAAGTACTTAGTAAACTAGTATACTACACACATGAAAAATTAGTGGATCATGGTTTGTGTGGTGAGAGAGTTGCAAGGGAGTTGGGAGGCACAGCTGACTTGGCTACTTGACAGGCAAACGAGTTGCTAACACAAATACACCTATAAAACGAAAGTAAGTTATAATGATGCACTGATGTTGCAACTCACCAGGTTTTCTGATATGATAGTGACATAGTCCACAAGGCAAGTTCTGAGAAACAAATTGGTTGGTAACCATGCTGACTAAGTACACAAAGCCACAGCCTGGGCCGCTGGCTTTGGCTTTTCAGTACCTCAGGCCAGGCCAAACTGTGGTCAGGCCATGATCTTTGGCCTGGCCTATTCTGGCCTATTCTGGCCTGGCCCATGGCCTGAGCCCCTTCAGTGACAAATTCTGTATTATACGGGTCACCCGACCTACATAATATCCTGTATAAGATGGGCCAGCGGACTATGAGCCGATGTTATGTATATCCCTGATGTTGATGGATGGGCCGGGAGGGATATTATTTCCGAT